CACACACACCTTACCTTTGTCTCTTCTCTTTTAGGAATAGAAGATCCAGGCAATTCACATTCTTCCCACATTAACATTACAGCCACAAATCCCCAAAACCTATTCAGAAAATGATATCTCAGAGTCCTTTAAACTCTGCCTGGAATTTCATCAAAAGGAGAACAATAGGGCCACAGCAGCAGTGAGTTCAGAGCAGCATAGAGCACTCAGGTAAGGTGTGGAGTCTCAGGCCCACTTGTTATCTTGCTCTCCCGTGTCTCCCTTTCTTCTCTCTTTCTCATTACTTCTCTCACAAATATTGTGACTCTTTGGAAATTATTCAACCACTCTAACCCCTTAATATTTAATGGGGGGGGGAAATCCTTCTCATCTTTTTAGCACCAGCACTTTTCAAAATGTTTTCACATACCCTTTTGCATGTGATTCACACAACCTGAAAGAAAAACTTTTTGTTGTTTAGATGAAGAAGCTCAGAGCATTGAGTTGTTGTTTGGTGCTGTTGACTCAACTACATCTCATAGCAACTCCAAGAATAACAAATCTAAACCTTGCCCTGTCTGGCACCATCCTCATCATTTCTGTCCTGCTTGAGTCTATTGTGGTAGTCACTATACCCGTCCATCTTGTTGAGGGTCTTCCTCTCCTTTGCTGGCCCTATACTTTTCCCAGAATGATGTCTTTTTCCCCCCAAGGATTGGTTCCTTCCATCCTTGCCTCTAAGGAGTACTCTGGTTGTACTTCCTTCAAAACAAATTTGTTTATTCTTTTGGTAGTCCGTGAGATATCCAACACTCTTCACCAACATCACCATTCAAAGGTAATAATTCTTTGGTTTTCCTTATTCATTGTCCAACTTTAAGATATGTAGGAAGCAATTGAAAAGATCATGGCTTGGACCAGGTGCATTGTAGTCTTTTAACTGAGATCCTTGCCCTCTAGCACTTTGGAGAGATCATTGACAACAGATTTCTCCAATGTGGCACATGAGTTTTAACTGTGGATGAAATCCTCGTCAAATTCAATCTTTTCTTCATTTATCACAATGTTGACTAAGGAATTTTCATTTCCTTAATGTTGAACTAACTCCATATTAAAGGCAACTGTTTAACTTCTGTAGTAAGAGCTTCAAGTCCTCTTTACTTTCCACAAAGAAGGCTACATCAGCTGCATAGTCTGGGTTATTGATGTGTATTCCTCCAATTCTGATGCCATAGTCTTCTTCATGGAGCCCAGCTTCTTTAATTATTTGCTTAGCATACATATTTTATAGATATGGTGAAATAATTAAAACTTGATGAACACCTACCTTCATTTTAAACCTTCTGCTTTCAGTTATATCACCAGAGTTCCTTAGGTCCTATGAGCGGAAATAGTTATAGTTTGTTGTTGTTAGGTGCCATAGAATTGAGTATAACTCATAGTGTGACTGGATGAACAACAGATTTGAACCCTATCCTATCCTGTGCCGTCCTTACAATCTCTGACACACTTGAGCTCCTTGCTGAAGTCACTAGGTCAATCCACCTGGTTAAGGGTCTTTCTCTCTTTCACCATCCCTCCATCTTTCTAAGCACTGATGTCCTTCTCCGAGGAAGAGCCTCTCCTGTCAGCATGTCCAAAGTGTGTGAAACAAAGCTGTATCATCTTTGCCTCTAAGGAGCATTCTGGCTGCACTTTCCAAGATTTATCTGTTTGTTCTTTTGGGAGTCCATGGGATAGTCAGTATTTTTCTCCAGCACCACAGTTCAAAGGCATGCATTTTTCTGTCATCCTTAGTCACTGTCCAGCTCTCAGCAGCATAGTAAGTTATTGAAAAGACCAATACCTAAATAAGGTGTACCTTAGACCTCAAACTAACAACAATTTGGAGAGATCCCTGACTGCAGACTTTCCCAGTGCAATACATCTCCTGATCTCCTGACTGTTGGTACCAAGTGTACTGATTGTGGATCCAGTAAAATTAAGTCACTGACAATTTCAATCTTTGCTTTCATCTATCATGTTGTCTCTGGCCTCATTTCAGTCACCAAGATTACATTTTTCCAACTACAAGTTCTTCCTTTTGGTCTCTAACTTTTGCATTCCAGTCACTAATTACCATAGTGTATTTTAATTGCACATTCAATAAATTTCCGATTGGAGAAGCTGCTGGAAACCCTCAATGTCTTCATCTTGGGCTTTAGAACTTGATGTGTATATTTGAATAATAGACATATCAATACATCTTCCATATATGCCGATGGATATTATCTTATCAAAGATAGCACTGTACGTTAGGATAGATCTTGAAATGTTCATTTTGAGGATAAATGTGACCCCAAATCCTCTTCAATTTGCCATATTCAGGATAGTAGACTGTATGATGTTTGACTCAAAAGTCTCTACTCATCTCAGCTCACCGATGTCTAGTATATTAATCTTTGGGTACTCCATTTCATTTTTTTTTTTTTACAGCTTGCAGTTTTCCTAGATTCTTCATGCATTTTACATTCCAATTACTAATGTCTGTTTTCAACTTTTTCTCCCCACTTTGAGTCATACTAATTCAGCAGATGAAGGTCCTTCATTAAAATGAAAGCAGATAGCTCTTTCCCAGTCATATTTTAGGAGCTTTCCAACCTGAGGGACTCATCTTCCCCATGATATCTGACAATATTCTGCTGGTAATCAAGGAGTTTCCAAGGGCTCATTACTTCAGAAGTACATTGCCAGTCCTGCTTATTAATCTGTCTTAGTCTAGAAGCTCTGCTGAAATCTATCCACCATGGGGGACAATGATATGTTAAATACTGGTGGCCTAGATTCCTGTATCACAGGTACATACAGCAAACTGAGGTTTTATCTTAATCCTATACAGTTGAGTATACCAGATTGGAAGTTGCTAGAATGATTAAAATGAATAAAGAATTCCTATATTATGTTTGGGGGTACACTATTAATGTGTTATTTATAAAAATTATTACATTCAAGATACTTTTTTGTTTTTATTTTTTTATTTTCTACTAGTTTATTTCCTGCTCCACCATCCGCCAGGATACTCATCCACTTCAACCCACTCCCTTCAACATCTATCTCCTGTTGTCCCACCCTTGATCTGATATCTTATATCTGAAGCTTCCTTGGCTTCTGTGATTCCAAATACCTCGGCTTCTGACAGTTTCTTATGCTGCGACCAGTGTCTCTTAAGTTCAGTGGCAATGCTTTCTGAGCAAAGGTGATGTGTCCTGTAGAACTGGTGTGTAGACAGGTTTTTCTTGGCTCGAGGGTCGCAGGCCCAAGGGCCCCGAATGGATCCCACGCGGCTTTGGGGACTCCACGTTTACCTGAGATGTGAGTGGAGGGTTTCAAGGTCCTTTGGTGTCCCTCTTCTCTGCCTGTCGGGATTCCGTTCTTCCTCCCTCTTTGCGACCTTAGAACAGATCCCATGCGACTTTGGGGACTCCACAGGTGGCCATGGTCTCTGCAATCACTTATTATGCATCAGAGACTTGGACAATGATCAAGGAAGATAGAAGGAGAATTGATGCTTTTGAGCTGTCGTGCTGGAGAAGAGTATTGAGGGTACCATGGGCTGCTAGGAAAACAAACAGATTCATCCTGGGAAGGGCCAAACTGGGTGGCTCCTTGGAGGCAAGGATTCTGAGTCTCCGTCTAACATACTTTGGACATGTTATAAGGAGAGACCAGTCCTTGGAGAGGGACATCATGCTCGGGAGGGTGGAGGGACAGAGCAGGAGGGGAAGGCCCTCCTTGAGGTAGACAGATTCAGTGACTGGGGTAATCGGGATGGATGTGTCGGAGATGGTGTGATTGGCACAAGATAGAGAAGAGTTTAGGGTGTTGTACATAGGGTCGCTATGAGTCGCAAGCGACTCGATGGCACATAACAACTAGTTTATTTACAAAATTCAAATATAAATTCTAACAAATTCTTTCCATTTTCTCACCTCCTAACCCATCTTGTACAACCTGATGATTAATCCCCCACATCCCCCGCACATCCACATCCCTCTAATTCCAGCCTCTCCCACCACTCTTGTATCCTTCCTTATACTCATTCTACAATAATGGTTTTATACAATATTTATCCTTGTGGGACTGAGTTAGTTCACTCTGCATAATGCCCTCCAATCCCTCCCAAGCTAGGTAATAATTTACAAAATCATTGCTCCTGCATGCTGCCTAGTATTTCATTGTGAGACTGTACCATAACTTCTCAATCCATGCGTTTGTAGTTGGACATTTTGGATGTTTCCATGTTCTTGCAATGGTGAATAATGCTGCTATGAACATAGGTGTACAAATCTCAATTTGTGCCTCAGTTCTCATATTCTCCGAGTATATCACAAGTAGGGGAATAGCTGGGTTATATGGAATTTATATGTTCAGCTTTTTGAGGAAGCGCCAAACTGCCTTCCAGAATGATTGTATAATTTTACAATCCCACCAAGAGTTCCTTTCTCCCCACATCATCTCCAACATTTATTATTTGCTGCTGTTGTAAACTTTGCCACTGTTACTGGAATGAGATGGTACCTTGCTGTGGTTTTGATTTGCATCTCTCTTATTGTCAGTGATGTGGAGCATTTCTTCATGTGTCTGTTTGCCATTCAAATATCTTCCTCTGTGAAACTTCTTTCCATGTCTTTTGCCCCTTTTGTAATTGGGTTATAAGTCTTTTTCTTGTGAAGGCCCAGGATTATTCTGTAAATTATTGTTATAAGGCTCTTGTCTGAGATGGTATTACCAAATGTTTGTTTCCAGTCTGTAGGTTTTCTTTTCACCCTCTTGGGAAAAATTTTTGATGTGCACAAGGGTTTAACCTTTAGAAGGTCCCACGCATTAATTTTATCCTCTTTGGATTATGTATTTCTGTTTGTATTTACATTCAAGATATTTTTAACACTAAGAAAACCTATTTTATTTATCTAAATATCTTTAGTCAACTGAGAGGACTTCATAAACACTTGTTTGTGCTAATGTTGCAGACTGTTGTGGAAATGAGTGGAGACAACCAGACTGGGACATCCGACTTCCTGCTCATTGGACTCTCAGAGAATCCCAAGCAGCAGAGAATCCTGTTTTGGATGTTCCTGTCCATGTACCTGGTCACAGTGGTGGGGAATGTACTTATCATCTTAGCCATCAGCACTGACTCCCACCTGCACACTCCTATGTACATCTTCTTGGTCAACCTCTCCTTCACTGACCTCTTCTTTGTCACCAACACAGTTCCCAAAATGTTGGTCAATCTCCAGTCCCAGAACAAAGCTATTTCCTATGCAGGATGCCTGACACAGCTCTACTTCTTGATTTCCTTGGTAACCCTGGACAACTTTATTCTTGCAGCAATGGCCTATGACCGCTATGTGGCCATTTGTCGCCCCCTCCACTATAGCACAGTCATGAATCCTGGCCTCTGTATTTTGATCTTGGCATTCTGTTGGATCCTTTCTGTCCTTTATGGTCTCATCCTTACTCTTCCTATGACCAAGGTGTCGTTCTGTGGGCCCCGGAAAATCCACTATATCTTCTGTGAGATGTACGTTCTGCTGAGACTTGCATGTTCTGACACTCAGGTCAATCACATAATACTGATTGCCACTGGCTGCTTCATCTTCCTCATTCCCTGTGGGTTCATGATTGTGTCCTATGTCCGAATAGTCAGAGCCATCCTCCGAATAATCTCCACCTCTGGGAAGTACAAAGCCTTCTCTACATGTGCTTCCCATCTGGGTGTGGTCTCCCTCTTCTATGGGACACTTGGCATGGTATATCTTCAGCCTCTCCACACCTATTCCATGAAGGACTCTGTGGCTACAGTGATGTATGCTGTAGTGACACCAATGATGAACCCTTTCATCTACAGCCTGAGGAACAAGGACATGCATAGGGCTCTGGGGAAACTCTTCCTACGGAAACACTTTCAGAGACTGACAAAAGGATAATTTTTGAAAGAGAGAATTTAAATAGATAATGGAATTCCTTGAACTGCATTCAAGACACAAGAAACCTATGAAGTACACAAGATATTTTTGTGCTGTTGTTAAGTGCCGTTGAGTTGCAGATGACTCATAGCGACCCTATGAATGAAAGACCTGAACACTTATATAACTTTCATCATTTCTTCAAGTTCATAGTTTCCAGAGGCAAGCTATTTTGGAAGTGGATGCCACTCCAGCTTTCAAGCTTGTTTTAATTGGGGAATTCCACCAAACACTGTCCACCATGAGTAACCATTATCACATTTGACACATCAGTATCACAGTGTTTAGTATCACAGCAACCATGAGTTACCTCTGTACAGCAAATAGACAGACAAGTACTATACGACTTAGAAGAATGTTTGACCAAAAACAATTCAAACCAGGCCTGAGGGCTGCAGATTAAAATCTCCCACCTTTTGTTTGGTACCATAGCTTTTTATCCACTAGGCCTACAGAGATCTCTCATTTTTTTGTTGTTGTTAAGTGCAGTTGCAAGTTGCAGACAATTCATAGCAACCCTGTGAATGAAAGACCTGAAACACTTGTATAACTTTCATCACTTTTCCACATTCATAGAGCTTCTGGAAGCAAACTATTTCGGAAATGGATGTCACTCCTGCTTCCAAGCTTATTTTAATTGAGAAGCTCTACCAAACACTGCCTGCCATGGGTAACCATTATTGCAGGCCCAAGGGCCTAAATGTGTTTTTAAATAGGAAGCCAAATAAAAGCAACTCACACCACCCAACAGTGAGTAAACATTCCACCTTAATCCTCACCAGAACCAGAAAACAAACCTCAGTAGAATCCAGCTTCTGCAGAGGACTTCAAACCTAGATTCCAGCCCCACACTGCTGACCAAATGCATCTTTAAATAGAAGGCTGAATAAAATCAACTCACACCCAATAGCAAATAAACATTCCACCTTAATTCACTTTTATGCCTGTGTTGAGAGGTGGGGGAGGGTCGATATATATGAGTTGCCCAATGTCCCCTAGACTTCACCTGTCTTGGTCACCAGGTTACATTAACACTAATGTTAAATTTTTTCAAGATCAAATCTTTCAATTCATTTGTCCATGGCTCCATAGTGCCATCATCTCACCCTCATCAAAATTTACAATTATAACTTATGGGAGGGAGATGTTTAAGCCCATGTCTGCTTATGTTCCTGAGCTCTGACTTTTACTAAGAAAAGTGCTTCTTTTAAGCTATTTGGAGAAAGTGCCATGGGTGAGATGCCCCTTTCCTGATGCTCTACCCAGCACAGATACCACTGCCTCAATGCTGACTCATACCCTATCTGAGCACAGACCTTGTGGTCTAGGCAGAAATGGCAAGAAGATTCTTCCCCTTCCCTTTGAATTGATCTTATCAATTGGGACCAAAATCAGTACTGTCTTTCTTGGTATGTGGAAAGTGAGAAGCATGAATGTAAGAAAATTGGACATTGTAAAGAAAAGGAATGCCTAAATATTGTCATGTACACACAACATACTACAGTATCTCACACTATCGCTTGTCAAATTAATGGCTCTGAGCCTTGCCCTATCCTAGGTCAGCCTCACTATCTCAGATGTACCTGACCCCATTAACCCAGTCACTGTGTCAATCCTTGTCATCCTGGGTCTTCCTCTCCTGTGCTATCTTTTTACCCTTCCAAGAATAACATCATTCTCCAAGGACTAGTCCCTCCTGGCAACATGCCCAAAGTATGTGAGACAGAGTTTCAAAATTCTTGCCTCCAACAAACAAATTGGTTTCACTCTCTCAAGGACAGACCTGTTTATTCTCTTGGCAGTTCATGGTATGTCCAATACTGTTCTCCAGCATCACAACTCAAAGGCACCAATTCTTCTTCTGTCATCCTTATTCACTGTCCAGCTCTCAGACGCATAGCAATAAATTGAGAAAATTATGGCCTGGATCAGGTGCACTTTGGTCTCTAAAATGACATTGTTGTTCTTTAACACTCTGGAGAGATCCTTGACAGCAAGTTTTCCCAACGCAACTCATCTTTTGATTTCCTGACTGCTGGTGTCAAGAGTGTTGATTGTGGATCCAAGATTAAATCAATCCTTTATCTATCATTGTTTGGGACTGAGGGTCCCAAAGATGGAATAATTTTATAATTATTAATAATGAGACAGACAGCCAGGAATGAAGATAGAGAGCATAAAACAGGGGCCAGCCATTATTGACTGAAGACCCCAAGCCAAGCTTCTGTGTATCTTTATTGAAAATTATCAGGAAGTAAATTACAAAGAGAATTCAATGCAAATGAAGCCAAGCTCTTTCTATTGAAAACCTTCTGCTTAACGCAGGAGGGAGGGGTTAGCAAATGCAAGAATCTGGTAAACCCCTAAGGATTGCCTTAGTGCCTCAGGGTGAACTCTAGCTTGTACCTCACCTCCCCCACATTCTTATATAGCATTCAGTTTATTACAAATATTTAGTATTGGCTTCCCATAATCACAATACTGCCTATTAGCCCTGGTGGTGAGTATCTTTGTTTTCTTGATGTTGAGGTGAAATCCATATTGAAGGCTGCAGTCTATAGCCTTCTGTGGCAAACACTTCATATACTTCAAGCAAAATAACCAAAGCCACAGTGTTTGCATTTATTTCAACTTATACTAGCCTTATGAGGAGAGCAGAACTACCTGATAGTGTATCCAGTCTTTATGGAAGCAGACTACCTGATCTTTCTTCCTAGGCTGGTGCATTCAAACCACTAAGTTTAGGTTGGTATCCAAATGTTTTAGCCACAGAGGAACCAGAAGTTCTAGCAAAATAACCTATCACAACAAACAAATGCAGAGGTTGATATTAAAATCCAATTTCTTCCCTTTAAGGCACACATTAAAAATATTTCATGGAGGAAAAAAAGTAAAACAAAAACATTATTTTTTATCACATTTAAAAATATTATTTTTCATATAAAAATAATACTTATGAAAGCATGTAATGGGTTATTCTTTCCAGTAATATTTTTAATATCTAATGCAGATGACACAACCCTGCTTGCTGAAACTGAGGAGGACCTGAAGCGCTTGCTGCAGAAGGTCAAGGACTGCAGCCTTCAATATGGATTGAGGCTCAGTGTCAAGAAGACAAAAATTCTCACCACTGGACCAACTGGCAGCATCTGGATGGATGGTGAAGAGATTGAGATTGTTCACAGCTTTAGTTTGCTTGGCTCCACAGTCAACACTCTTGGCACCAATAGCCAGGAAATTAAAAGATATATTGTGATGGGGAAGTCTGCTGTTAGGGACCTTTTCAAAGTTCTGAAGAGCAATGGTGTCACTCTGGAGACTAAGGTGCGTCTGATACAGGCCATGGTCTTTGCAATCACTTGTTATGCATCAGAGAGTTGGACAATGACTAGGAAGGATAGAAGGAGAATTGATGCCTTTGAGCTGTGGTGCTGGAGAAGAGTGCTGAAGGTACCATGGACTGCTAGGGAAACAGATTCATCCTGGAGAGGGTTAAACTGGGTTGCTCCTTAAGGGCAAGAATTCTGAGGCTTCGTCCAGTGTACTTTGGACATGTTGTAAGGAGGGACTGGTCCTTGGAAACGGACATCATGCTTGGTAGGGTGGAGGGACAGCGCAGGAGGGGAAGGCCCTCTATGAGGCGGACTGATTCCGTGACCAGGGTAACCGGGATGGGTGTATCAGAGATAGTGCAATTGGCACAGGAAAGAGCAGAATTTAGGGCTGTTGTACATAGGGTCGCTATGATTCGCAAACAACTCGACGGCATATAACAACAACAACAACAATAAAGGGAGCTCTGTTTTCTTGGTGGTAAAAAATTGTGCTGCCACTACAAAGGTATGTGTTTCAAATCCACCTGCAGCTCTATGAAAGAAAGATGAGCAATCTGCTCCCTTGTGACTTATGCCTCTGAAAACCCACTGGAGGGTCAGCTATAGGTCAGTTTCAACTCGACAGTAGTCAATAACAAAAAAAATTTATGGTAACATAGATTAATAAAACCATCATAAACAAAAGCTCTCTGAGATTCTTAATAGTTTGGAGTGTAAATGCATCCTGACACCAAAAACTAGAGAGTGGTTCTATGAAAAACACAAACATATTTGAAAATTATTCACATCAAGTCCAGAAAATAAGGAAGCACACAGAGTCGGTTAAACAAATGGAGATAGCACTTTAGCAGTATCATTAACATTTAAATGCTTTCCAAGAGAGAGAAGTCCCAAATACGGCAAAATTTTAATAATTTGGTGTTTTTGTGTGTATGTTATTGTCTATGAGTATTTTCTATATTTTATTCTGTGAGATTATCTTTGAGTTGTAATTGAGTTTGACTTTTATGAAATTAAAGAATGTTTAGATATAGGAAACAGCCTTCTTTCTCATTCAAATATATAGAAAATCTGGATCATTTAATCTTTTCTTTTTTTAAAATAAAAAGGTCAATAATCTAATTGAAGAAAGCAACTTACCAAAAGTGAAAAAATAATCTCTAGCAAAAGAATCACTATGAGCTGTACTCGACTGGATAACACCTAAAAACTACATAACAACAAGCAAAAGAACTGATGACCTCAGGAATCACTGGGAAGAACAGGAGATGGAATTTTGAGCTCCCATAGAGCCAGGAACTGAGTCCTAGGGCTCACGTGAGGTGGGAATTAGAATTAGACACCTTATATTTAAAAAAACCAAAGTCTAGAAAGTTTCTACCCTCAGTCCTACAGTTACAGCTGAAAGTGAACTCCCTCAAAGTTTTGAAATTCACATCTCTTTTTTTTATGGCCTATGATTTGTCAGAAACCATCTACTTGATTTTCAACTCACTGCTTTATTGTTAGACCATTTGCTTATTTAAAGACTACATTTTTCAAATAGACTCCAAAACTCATCTTTCAAGACAAAGATCATATTCGGAGCACCCTTAGTATTGTCAATATGCCATATGATCTGAAAAT